GCTGAGAGTTCCTCCGCTGGATCCTTGCCCTGGAACAGGGGTGGGGATGTGAGAGAGGAGAAGGTTGCCAAGGGCCCGGCCTGGCTGCCTGGCCCTGCTGGGCCCAGCCGTGGCACCTCGGGCTCCAGGAGGGGTGACCTTGCAGCGGGGTCGCTGAACAGACGGTTCCAGCTGGGCTTGTGCCTTGGCCAGCGCCCAGGAGCTATTTTAGGAGGTCTTAGAAGGGACGAGGCCTTGGCAAGAGCCGTGGGTTTGCAGTGAGCTCTCGGTTCTCCCTGCAGGGGCCAGCGGGCATCGCGCAGCCTGTGGAGGAGCCCCGGGCAGCAGCGGCTCCCAGGGCTCAGGGACAGCTCATGAGCTCCTGGTGTGGCACACAGGGCTCAGGGACAGCTCATGAGCTCCTGGTGTGGCACACAGGGCTCAGGGACAGCCTGTGTGCTCCTGGTGTGGCTCTCAGGGCTCAGGGACAGCCCAGGGACAGCCCATCTGCTCCATTTAACCATTAGAATGAAGGTGCTGGAGGTGCCCAGGTGGATTTAAAGGATTGGAGTCACGGCTTTGGCTGCTCCCTGGCCCATGCACAGGGTGCAGGAGGAGCTGAGGCAGCTGCCAGTCGTTCCTGGCACTCTGTGCTTGGCCAGAAATGCTTTGGGGAGGCTCCTAAAGTCAAGCTGGGCTCTCACTGAAGGCTCCCACATTGCCCTTATGGAAAAAGGGCAAAAAGTGTGAGGTAAAGCCTGGGCTGGATCCTTGGGGGCTTGTCCCTTCTGGCTGTAAATGAGTGACTTGAGTTGACAACAGCTACAGGTGGGCATGGAAATGAGGATTTATCTTCCAAAAGGCTCTCCAGGCTCCCACTCCAGCAAAGCAGTCCTGTCTCTCCAGAGACAGAAACTCCTCCAGTGCTGTCTCAAGCCTCTTCTGGGTTCTAAACCTCCAGCAGATCTCAGGAATGCCAGCAGCAGAGCAGAGAGGCTCGGAGGAAGCCCTGTTGCTTAAAAAATCAAGAGAACTTTCTGTCCAGCACAGGGGGAAGGACTAGTGTCAGTCGTTAACAGAATCATTTAATTCTTACCACTAGCTCCCAATGTGGCCTTTTCTTTGTTTTCCACTCAGAATCTCTTATTATCAAAGTGCAAATACAAGTACCAAAGGTGCTGGTGGCACACAGACAGCTGGTGGGATTGAGTCCTTTCTACTTCCCAAAACTGGATCCAAGTGCTTGCTTTAATACTTTACCCTTTTTTTATTATTATTATTTGAGGGCATTTCCTCTAAACCACAGGGCTGTTAGTGGTCTGTCTGTGTGCTAAAGCCAAGTTTGCACCCCTCAGTGCTGGTGTGTTGTGGACAGCCCCGCTGCTGGTCTGCTGGGGGGCTCAGGCAGCAGAATTCCAGGCTGTCCCCATGCCAGGGCTGTCACTGCAAGTCGACAGGCTCATCTTCAGCCTTGCTTTCAATATCTCATATTCCAAAACGTCTTTACAGCCTCTGAATCCCTCGGGGCAATTTGAAGTTTGAGCAGCCTCTTGCCCAGATGGCCGATATCAGCAGCTCTCCCCTGGCAGCAGCATCCTTCTCCTTGGGTTTATTTATTTTATCTTTTCAATCAAAAAACTAAAAAACCAAAAACCAAAACAATGAAAGCTGTCTGTTTCCTGGAGCAGCTCATTTGTTTTTTACTGCTTTAGTTTGTTTCCATTGGGATGGAAGGGAAAAAGATAAATGGATAAAGAGGGCAGGGAGGGACCCAAAGGAGAGCTGGCATGGGATGCTGTCCCTGGTGCATGATGCCATATGGCTGGAATGTGTGGCTCAGAGGTGAACGTCCCACCCATGAAAAATAAAGGATATATCCTGCAGCTGAAGTGCAGCATGGGAGAGAGTGCTGGATAATATCAGGAAAGCTGCCCACTGAGCACCAGGAATACAGTTTGTTCCCAGCAGTGGGCTTAGTAATGGAGCATACTCAAGGAGAATTTATTGGGGTTTGTTTTGCTACCTTCTCCATGTTTTTTTTTTTAAATTAGCTGCAAAGCTCAGCCCTGGGCAGTGAGACCATTTGAGGGTGTGTAGGGTATCTGAATCATAACCACCAAACAAACCCTAACTGAGCTTTTCTCCTCTTTCTCCCATCCCTCTCTTACCAAAAAAAAAAGATTACAAAAACCCACCCTACACAACAAAAAACCCAAAGAAAAAGAATACAGGAATCTGAGCTGCTCTGAGCAAGCAGTTTCCTTCCCAGGTGCTTCTTTTAGCTTTTTTGGTAGCATTCCTCCCTCACCACCCCATATGGCCTCTCCCATCTGCTCTGCCTCTCCCATGCCCTGGCAGCTCCCTCTGCCTCCCTGGTTTTGCCATCCCATCCATCCCTGCCCTGCTCTTCCCTCCCCCTTCTCGGGGTCTCTGCACATCCCTCAGGTACCCCTGTGTGCCATCACCTTGTGTGACCATTAGGAGTTCCATGTTAGACCTTGTTCAGCTCCTCTTGAAGTCACTCCTTGGTGTTTGGTGCTCACAGACACAGATTTACCAACCTGAAAACGTAGGAATAACCCAAACAACCACATTTTGATACACAGCAGAGGCCATGCACTGCTCTTCTATTACTCTTTTATTGCATTAACACCAGCTCATGTCCTTGCAGCTGGATGTGCAGTGCTCCTGGGTGAGGTTTAGTTCAGTCCAGAGATAATTTCAGAGATGAGCACTCCAGAGTTTTGCAAAGCTTGTGTTTGGTTTTCGTGCCCCAGGGCTGCATCCCCACGCATCAGCAGGGTATCCCAGTGCTTTAATGGGGGGACACAAAAGGAGGTGTTTCTGGTGTGTGTACCTGCAGGAATTCAAGTAAGAATAAGAAAATACCATGTATATTTATATATTAACTGAGCATTTCTCTCTGGCTGCTCATCTGGGGAATGTAGCCACGGTGCTTGGATCAGCTAATAAGGATATATTGTTTTATATGGGAACTTCCTATGAATTTTTAAAAATACTTTCTTCAAGGAAGCCCTGAAAAGTTATCTGAAAAAGGAGCTGGCCAAAATCCAGCTCTTGTGTGCAGAGGAAATGTGCTGGAGAGGTCAGGGCTTTGCACAGGCTCTTCCCAATAGCAGGTACGAGATTTTCCCTTTCCAGCAGGGCAGGATGGGTCTTGTTGCCTGTTTGCCCATCCCTCTGGAGCTCAGGAGTCTCTCTGAAACACAATCTCCCACACCAGAGGGGACTGCCATGATCCTGTGGGTTTTTCCAGTGTGCTGGAAGTTGCCTCCCCTTTGCCATCCTCCCTCTTTCCCCACAGCAGCCCTGGCTGCGAGCCTGGAGCTCCAGCATCAGTTCAAACTCCTGGGTCTCCACTGAAGGAGAAGATTCTGCACTCTTTCCCTGGTAGGATCCTGGCAGCCTCAAAGATGCTTTGCTTTTAAAATATAAACCAATCTATGATTATTTATAAAATATATATATTTGATGTCACTTTCTAAAAAATGCTCTCTGTTTGTGTGGCTTCTGTCTGCACAATACCAAGTGCCTCCAGAGTATTTGCAGTTAGAAAAACCAGTAAATATCTGTTTGGGTTTTTTCCCCTTCTTTCTAAGAGATAAGACTTGTGTCTTATTTTATTTTTGCATATGCATTCATTATGAGAAGCATTTTTTAACAGGAAAAGTTGAGTGAAAGAAAGAGCATCACTGGTGAGCACATTGTGGTGGAGTAGGGTAGTCCTGTGGGTCCTGCAGCATCAGAGTGCTTTCCCAAAACATCCTCATCCTCACAGAACCACCCAGAGGCACCTTTACCACTCACCTTTCTGCTTGCAGGGATGGGCATCCCTGGAAAGGCACCTTGGGACCTTTGCTCTCCAGCTTGTAATGCAGAGGTGATGGATGGGACAGCAAATCTTTGGGGAATTTCAAGTGTTTAAGCAAGAGGCACTGCTGATGGTGTTGAACGGGACTGAGGTGCAGGGGTTTTTTCTTATTTCTTGGATGGGGATTGTCTGTAGCTGTTGGTGCTGCTGGCAGTGACAATGGCAACTGGAAAGAGGGAATAACAACTGGAAAGAGAGAATAACAACTGGAGAGAATAACAACTGCTCCAACAACTGCTCCAAGCTGTGCTCTGGAGATGGGGCACTGCACAGGGACAGCCTGCCCTCATTCTATACGTACAAACAGCAGTGTCCTACACACTCCTGACAGAGTGTGGGATTGGGATGACAATTAGAAAGTCATAAAATATCCTGAGCTGGAAAGGACCCACAGGGATCACTGAGTACAGCCCCTGTCCCTGCACAGACACTGCAAAATCCCCCTCTGTGCATCCCTGGCAGCGCTGTCCAAAGGCTCCTGGAGCTCTGGCAGCCTCGGTGCCCATTCCCTGAACACGTGGGCAGGGCCAGCACCCTCTGGGGGAAGAACCTTGCCCTGAAATCCAGCCTAAACCTCCCCTGACACAGCTCCAGCCATTCCCTCAAACAGTGATGTGGGGCTGCTTTTACCTGTTTGGGACAAACTGGGCAGGACCAGGAGATGGATGTGTCCAAGAAGATGTGAATCCTGCCATCAATCAAGCATCATTTCTGATGCTGAAAATCAGTTGATTCATACATCAAGAAAGAATTTGGCCCTTGGTTTCTGGGTGCAGCTGAGATCAGCACAGCCTTGCTTTTTTCCCCAGTGCTTTGTGTTTATTTTCGAGGTGCTGCTGCTCAAGGCTATCAGCCTTTTTCTGCAGCCACGTTCTGTATGGAAAGAAAGGCATGTTTCATTTTTAAGCGGAAAAAAAAAAAAGCAAAAAAAAAAAGCCACGCACACAAAAAAACCCAAACAAACATAAACCGCAGCGTGGCACAGATTAAATCCATTTGAGACAACTCGAAAAAAAAACCCAGTCATATGTGCAAGTCAATAGGAGGAGGGGAGTGGAAGGGGGAAAAGCAACTGTGACATATACAAACCCTTTAGTGTGCATAGCATAAGATTTTTTGGCTGGCACTCACATGATTTTATTCAAGGGCTGGGAAAGAACTACGATTAGTTAAAAGCTTCGGCAAAGTCTGGAGGGAGTGCTCTGAAGAGTTGGGAGCCGCGCAGAGGTGACTGTAACTCCTCTCGCAATTTCAGACCATTCTTCTGAGGCTCAGGACAAAAGCCTTTTCTTTTCCCTCCGTGTTCAAAGAGACATTTGTCTTGAGATGTTGCAGCTGTGGGCCGCGGGATCGCTTGTTTGAAGATACCCCCTCGTAGACGAAAGGAGAGGCAACGCACTGAAAAGTGGTAGTATTTTATCGTGTGTGGGTTCCCCCCCCTTCCTCCTCCCTCCCTACTCCTCCACTGCCATGTGTGGTTTTTAATAAGAAGAAGAATGTGGAGGCAACATTTTCCAGGCAAGGGGAAATTTCCTGTTTCTCTTCTGTTTGTTTAATAAAGTGTGTAGTTGACTGTAAAACTGTAGCTACTTGGTTGTGAGCGGATAATTCAGGCGAGTGTCAGGATCGCTTCTTGATGCACTTTTATATACTGCAGGACAACATGTTTAAAGCCTTTTTTCCTTTTTTTTTTTTTTCCTTTTTTTTTTCCTTTTTTTCTCTTTTTTTTTTTTTTAATTTTACTGCTGCGTGGCGCAGGCAACTGAGATTAATAAGAATTAGGCAAATGGCTTCTGCTTTTGTTTCGGTGAGATAGTACCAGCCGTCTTGCGGTCACACAAAGGCTGCCATTTAGCAGGGAGCTCTCCCTAATTCTCTTGGCAGGGGTGCCATTGGGATCGGATACAAGTGGGTGGCAAAGGGGAGGAGCGGCAGGAAAGGACAAGCAGGCTTTGTGTATTAAAAATGAAACAAAAGCACTTTATACGCGGGGCTGCGTGCAACAAGCGGCGCTGCCTGTGAGCCGGGGTGGAGTTGGAGTTCTCTGTGCCTGCAAAACCTTGCTCTCTTCTCTTCTCTTCTCTTCTCTTCTCTTCTCTTCTCTTCTCTTCTCTTCTCTTCTCTTCTCTTCTCTTCTCTTCTCTTCTCTTCTCTTCTCTTCTCTTCTCTTCTCTTCTCTTCCTCCCTGTAAACCTTTCCTCCTCTCCCTCTTCCTTACCAAGCTCTCCCCACACTGCTGGCCAGGCTCTGCAGGTGGCTGAAAATGCTTAAAAAAAAAAAAAGTATTGAACAATACTTGCCCCAACTTTGCAGGAACAGTTGGGGAGGTTCTCTGTAAAAATCAGCTTCAGATGGTGTGGGAGGCATCGAAATTGGGAGGCAGAGCTGATCCCACCCCAGTGCCAGGAGAGCTGGTGCCCAGCTCCACAGGGCTGGTGATGCTCATGGCTTACACAGCATGAAAGGGTTAATGGCTGCGATGTTTTATCACAATTTCGGGGGGAGTGGCTGCTGTTTAATTACTTTCTGATCCGTGGCATACCTCCTTCTTAATGAAGCAGTGGCCTGCAGAGCAAACGTGCTGTAGGAGCCTTGGTGGCTTGGTTTTGTCAGCCCAAATGTGTTGGTTTGGATGTGTTTGTGCAGGGGTAGGAGCCAGGACGGTGAGGAATGGATGCAGGGCGGTAGAAAGGCAACGGGAGAGGCGGCTGAGGAAAACAGAGCACGGTTTAAGCTGCAAACCTGCCAATGGTTTTTATTAAAACGTCATTTCCATACATTATGCACTTCATCCTGTATTGATTTGCTTCAGAACTTTCCTTGTCGAGCTGAAATAAATTCCCTCCTTCAAGCAGGAGAAACGAGAGCAGTTCCTGTGAGTACCTCACGGGTTCCATCCCCATTCATCCTCAGTGACTGCACTTGAGTGTGTGGGCAAGGGTGACGTGCCTAAGAAGCCTGTGTCATCATGCACAATTACATCCCTAATCCCAAGCAAAGACACAGATGCTGTTTAAAAAAAAAAAAAAAGAAAAGAAAAGAAAAAAGGAAAAAAACCCAACTGTGTTTTGTTTGACTTTCAAAGAAGCTTATGTAAGGGCAGCATAATAAACCCGTTATTTTGGAGCTCGGATTAAATGTTAAAGTTTCAGATAACCTGTGGATTCATCTTCCACCTGCCACGCTCACAGGAAGCCACTCCAACCTCTGTGTGCCCACTGCTCTGCCTTGAGCATGGTCCTGGTCCCTGGTGGGCACTGGGCCCCAAGCTTGGGGACAGGGATGGTGGCCATGGGGACAGGGATGGTGGCCATCGGGACTGGCACCACCACAGCCACCTTGGCCCTGCACCAGATTCCTTTTTATTTGCAGTTGTGGTGTGAGGCTCTAAGCCTTGGAGATCATACACATTAGTAAGCATTTAAGTCAGTGTTATAATTCACTTGCTTGTTAACCTGAGAAAATAATCTAGCTGGGGTGCAGTGCTGCCCAGAGGGATTGTGTAAGCGCTCGGAGATTTGGGCATGTTTTTATTCTTGCTTATCTGCTTATCACAAGCTTCTTTCCCTTATCCAGATCGTCTCGGCACTCCACCCTGCCTACTGACACACTTGCACTCCCATCTGGATGAAATGCATGCAAACATAATGGATTACTTCCAGTAATGGAGACCTCAGTAGGGAAGGGGGAGGGAAGGACCAGTTCCAATAGCACCCACCTGTAATGCTGAAAACCTTCAGTCGGGTCTGCTGGCTTGGTTGGTTCTTCATTTCTTTAAGCAGATTCAGTGGAAAAGGAATGGAAAGCCACTGAACCCGCTCCATTAAACCTGCCTGTTTCCATGGAGTTGTTTTTTCCCATGTAAAAGGAGTGTAGCTGTGTGAGTGTAGCAGCAGTGCAGGGTCCCTCCCTGGGACCTCGCTCTTGGTGCCCGCAGGTCTGGGGTTCATCTCTGTGGCCAGTAGTGCCCATGTCTGCAACAGCCACATCAGCTGGGGGAGACTGTCCCACAAAACACCCCAAAACAACCCCGTGGAGTTCCCTCAGCCAAGCCCTGGGCTTGTCCCCCTGATCAGCACAACCACTGCATTTAAAGGCCAGACAGATGTTGGCCGGTAGCCCTGGCAGGTTCTTGTGCAAAAGTGGGGTTTGGTAAGGAGAGGCTTTGCTGGGGCTGCTCGTCTGAGGCTTTGGAGACTCAAAGGCAGACCCTCCAGCTCCAGCCATCTCATGGTGCTGCAGCAGAAATAAAGCACCACATTATACCCAGAGCACCTGGTCCCCTCACCTGTGCTCTGCTCAGAAACTGCCTAGGCAGCTGAGAAAGATACCTGAGGTATGTCACAGGGTCCTAATATAATAAACACCATTACTGAAAGGGAGGTGTAGAAATTTCTGAGTGATTTGTCCCAAAATGAACCAGTTAATCCCCATCAGAACAATAAATAGGATATAAAATTCAGCATGCTGTGGCCCTTGGGTGGTGATCAATTCCTTCCTTCCCTCAGAGGAGAATATTTGGTTTACAAAGACAAACGTTGCTGTTCCCATGAAACCTTTGGTAGTTGGCAATACATCAGAGTATAACCTTCTGTGCTAAAGAGGTCTTCAGTGTCCTGCTCTTCCCGTGATTTTCCAGGAATCTTGTTTTTTGAGTCTCTGTTTGGACTTGTTTTTCTGAGGTAGTCAGAATGGTAAAGCCATTCCCTAAAAACACAGGGGCAAAACGGCAGCTGTGTTCCCAGAGAGTATTCCAGTCCCTTGGCCAGAGTTCAGCCCTTGTTGCTGTTACCCCTGGCCCTGCAGTGCAGGATGTCAGCAGGTGCTGCAGCCCCTCCCGTGCCAGGGAGCCGTGAGAAACACGCTGTGCTCGCTGTGCCCGCAGGTATCCGCCCGCAGATCATGAACGGCCCCATGCACCCCCGGCCCCTGGTGGCGCTGCTGGACGGCAGGGACTGCACCGTGGAGATGCCCATCCTGAAGGACCTGGCCACGGTGGCGTTCTGTGACGCACAATCAACTCAGGAGATTCACGAGAAGGTACCGGGAGAGCTGGGGTGGGCTGGAGGCAGCGGGATCTGGCCTTGCTCTTCCACGTCTTTAAAGCATCTTCCAGTGCCTAGAGGGGCTCCAGGAGAGGTGGACAGGGGCTTTGGACAAGGTGTGGAGTGACAGGACACAGGGAATGGCTTCCCACTGCCAGAGGGCAGGGACAGATGGGATATAGGGAAAAAATTCCTCCCTATGAGGGTGGGCAGGCCCTGGCACAGGATGCCCAGAGGAGCTGTGGCTGCCCCATGATCCCTGGAAGTGTCCAAGGCCAGGCTGGACAGGGCTTGGAGTACCCTGGGATAGTGGAAGGGGTCCCTGCCCATGGCAGGGGTTTGGAAAAATGAGCTCCCTTCCCAACCCAAACCAGTCTGATCATTTGATTTTTGAACAGAAGGTGTACAAAGCTGCACTTCGAGTCAATCACCAGATAACATCAACAGAAGCCACTGCAGATTAAAATTCATTCAGGTTGTTTTAGAAGCCAGATGTTATTTTGGAAAAAAAAAAAAGTCCCTTTATCTCTTTGTATCAGGTTTTTCACAAATGTTATTAATATTTCTCATGTTCTTTGAAGTCCCTGGTGCTCTTGCTGTGGCTTTGCTGCCACCATCCCAGCTGCAGCTGGTGGATCTTCACAGGTCCTTGGTGCACCTCCAGCAGCTCCTCTCTCTCCAGGGGGAGTGGAGGAGGTTTGGGAATCATTCAGGCAGATCCATGTGGTTTGGGTGAATGTTTCTGCTTGGAAGCTCTACTACATGTAAATGCTTCTCTTAAAAGTATTATTTTAGACGCCTCAAATGAGGTTTGAAGTGATCAGAAATCACTTCCAAGATCTGGGAAAGAGGAATGCAAATAGCATCAGTGCTGGTCTTTGCAGATACTAAATTTGGGGAAAGGAGAATGGGGGTTTGTTGTGAGACATTAATAGATGAGCCAGGCTTGAGGGGTTTGGATGGGTCTTGGGTTCTCAGAGCACTGAGGCAGCATGTGGTGAGCACCAGTGATGGTCTGGATCTTCACTGAAGGGGCAAGGCCCAGCCCTGTGTGACTGTGCAGCCTCTGCAGAGCTTCTCAGGTCCCCTTGAGAAGAGCCAGAAAAGGTAGGTGTGGCTGATGTGGCCGGAGTTTGGACATGCACAAAGAGGTCCAGGAATTAGGAGTGTCCCACAGTCCTGTTCAAACCCTTCAGACAGTCCTGCAACACAAATTGCTTTCTGAAAGCGGAATTACTGCTGCCTGGAAGCAGAGGGATTTGCAGATAACCACCTGGAAAAAAACCACCTGCTCAGATGTAACATCATAACTTTGGGATATTCACCAAATCCATTCCCAGAGGTGTTGTTGGGTCACAACCCTGCAGGGTTTGGTGACACCTGGCTCAGCCAGCAGGTCAGCAGTGAAAATGTCCAACTCACTGTGCCATGTTCCTGATTCCTGAGCTGCAGGTGTCCCCCCAGGTGTGCCGGTGGCTCCTGACTGCTGTGTTGTGTTGCAGGTGTTGAATGAAGCCGTGGGGGCCATGATGTACCACACCATCACCCTGACCCGGGAGGACCTGGAGAAGTTCAAGGCCTTGCGGGTCATTGTCCGAATAGGCAGCGGCTACGACAACATCGACATCAAAGCTGCTGGGGAGCTCGGTAGGTCCCAGCTCTGCACCCTGACTCCCTGACTCCCTCCCTCCCTTCCTCCTCCCTGGCACAAGGAGCTGCTGCTTCCATGGGACCACACTGGCACAGCAGAGTTCCAGGCAGAGCCTCCATTCAGCCTCTAAAATTACAGGTGGAGTTTACATTTCTTTGTACACAGAGAATATTATGCCACAAAGACCTGACCATGTAGTGAACAAAATAGTGCAGTTTTAGAAGGCAGCTTTTGGGTTCATATAATTGAAAAATTGCCCTGTCTGAATCCCTCATTCCTGCACTGTTCCAAGTTCAGGTGCCCCCTCATGCCACAGGCTATTTGTGTGGCTGTTCTATTTCTGCCACAGGAGAGTTGATACAGCTTTAGAAAAATTGGAGGAAGGGTGTTTTATTATCTTTTGTTAAGCAAGATCAGTCTCTTGATCGGAGCTGGTTCTCTGAGTCATGCCTGCTCCGCTGGGAAGGCGCTGTGTTGGATGGTGGAGCAGGAATTGTGTGTTGGGTTGGTGCCACCTCCTTTGCCATCTCATCAAAGGTGCCTCAGGAACCTGAAAAAGGCTTTTAGTGTGGATTGTCAAGAACAGGGAGAGTCATGTTAGACAGTGCTGGGACCACCCAATTTCCAAACTGGTTTGGGTGATCACAGGCTTTTGGCTGCACATGCCCAGCTGCAAGAGCTTAATTGTATCCCTGGTTTTAGCAGCTGAGTTACAACAGGCTTTACTCATCTGATCCCAAGATTCAGTCTGTGGAGCAGCCTTTTGGCATATGTTGTATTAAAGGTTATCTCTGGGGAAGTGAAGAGTAACAGCTATTCCACCTGAGCTGTTTTACAGAGATAATTGCAATAAGAGAGTCTCAAATAGTCATTCCTAAAAAAAGCAATTCTCAATATAGTGAATTGTTTTCTTTTTTCAAGAGGAGAACAGTGTCTCCTCAGTGTAATGGTTTCTTCATGTTTTTAACTCTTATTGTTATTATCCATTATAACAATGTTCTGAGGCTTTGAACATCAGGAAGGGAAAGATATAACGAATAAAGTAATGGGATACTGCAGCATAATCCTTCTTTTTTTACTTGGCAAATTGGGTGGCCAAATGATGTGGTTTCGAGTAGAAAATGTAATGACTTCCCACAAATGTAGCGTAAAGTTTAATTGGTATTGCTTTCCATAAGGTAGTTTTTAAACTGTGCAGTCAATCAGTGACCAGGGCCTGAGCAGCAGTGCCAGGGCCACCCACTGGCTGGGCTGGGCACCAGTTTGGACCCGTTAAAAGGCACCCCAGAACGGGCTGATGGGGTTGAACAGTCATCCCTGGGTGTCTGAGGGGCACAGAGTAAACACCAGTGTAAGGAGCTGGTGGGAAGGGCAGCTGGGAGTCACCTCATCCCACAGATGGGTCCCTGAGACAGGGCAGGGGCTGGCAGGGCTGGCACGGGCCAGGCTGTGATCTGTGTGTGGCCTCCGCAGGAATCGCCGTCTGCAACATCCCCTCGGCCGCCGTGGAGGAGACGGCCGACTCCACTGTGTGCCACGTGCTCAACCTGTACCGGCGGAACACGTGGCTGTACCAGGCGCTGCGCGAGGGCACGCGGGTGCAGAGCGTGGAGCAGATCCGCGAGGTGGCCTCCGGAGCCGCCCGCATCCGCGGAGAGACGCTCGGCCTCATCGGCTTCGGTGCGTGGGGCAAGGGGCTCCTGAGGGGGGCTCAGCGCTGCCCCGGGAAGGACCCAGAACGAGCATTTCCAAAACCAGAAGCACCACAGTGGATCAGTGTGAAACAGAGAAAATCTCACACAGGTTTTTGGGGAGCTGTTTTTGAGCTGTGGTTGAGTCCTTGGAGGAGCACTGGTGAAATGCAGTGGTGTTTTAGAGGGACCACAACTCTCGAGGTAGTGCTGCTGTCCTCACCCTGAGCCACAGCTACAGCAACCCAGCCCTCCCTGAGCCACTCTGGCCTGCACAGTGCAGGGCTGTGTAAAACAGAGCTTAAGTTCAGCCACAGGTGTAGAGAGTTTCAGTGTTAGAGGTGGGATCAGCTAATTAATGGCAAGCGCTCATACCAGCATGTTAAAATGGGGAAACTGAGGCAAGGCAGGGGAATGTCTGGGGAGCCCTGCAGGCCCCAGGGGACAGTCCTCAGGTCCTGCTGGGAGCTCAGCCTCTCGGGCACAGGGAAGTTGGGCTCAGTTAACTCCCGCTGTCCCTTCCCTTCGGCACAGGTCGCACTGCGCAGGCGGTCGCGGTCCGAGCCAAGGCCTTTGGCTTCAACGTCATCTTCTATGACCCGTACCTGCAGGACGGCATCGAGCGCTCCCTGGGCGTCCAGCGGGTCTACACCCTGCAGGACCTGCTCTACCAGAGCGACTGCGTCTCCTTGCACTGCAACCTTAACGAACACAACCACCACCTTATCAACGACTTCACGATTAAGCAGGTAATTAACTCACCTCATGTGCGTGGCCGTGGCCGAGGAGAGCTTTGGTGGGCAGGGCCTGAGTGCAGGAGCTGGCCACAGATTCCTCAGTTTCCCCTGTGAGCCAGCAGCTCCAGAACAGCTGGTTGCACCCAGGTGTGTCTCCCCACAGAGTTTAGGGGGAGCAGTGTCCTGCCAGGTGAATGATCCTCATCCCTGTGGTGCAGAGGTGACGGCAACAGCGGGTTTTGTTTGCCAACACCAACCAAAGATGGAGATCCCACGGAAAACCCACGTGTGGCGGGATGGGGGTTGCTCTGGGGCTGGAGCAGAAAAAGTGGGATGCTGTCGCAGCTGGAGGCAGCACCCCAGGGTGGGGGTGAGGCTGGGATGGGGTCAGAGCAGCCAGCTGATGGTCATCCCTCTCTGTGCCGGCGGCAGATGAGGCAGGGAGCGTTCCTGGTGAACACGGCCCGCGGGGGGCTGGTGGATGAGAAGGCCTTAACCCAAGCCCTGAAGGAGGGACGGATACGAGGGGCCGCGCTCGACGTGCACGAGTCGGAACCGTTCAGGTAAAGCTCTGGCTCGTGCCAACACCAACCAGGGGTTCCCAGCACCCACTGAGTGCCCCTTTGCACACAGCCCAGCACTGGGGGACAGTCCTGCTGTTGTCACCTTGCAGCAGCCACCGGCTGTAGTCCAGCACTGGGGTTACGTGTGCTCAAATGGACACGGGGAGCTTAGAACAAGAACCCAGCCTGTGTTTAGATAAAATCCCAAAACATTCACTGTAGCCCATGAGAACAAATTCACTGTGCTCAGTGCTGGGCGTTTTTGCCTGCAGCCTGGGAAGGGCTGGGCTGTAACTGGGAGTGCAGCTTCTCTCACCACAGAAATATTTAAACAAAAAGTTTCTCCTACACAAGGGGGAACCCCAGTGTCCACCCCCTCCCATCCTGGGCTGACCCACAGTGTGTCCCTTTATCCCCACACTGCTGCAGACACCCCCAAACATTTTTCCTTCGGGGGCATTAAGCCAAACCACCCCACGGATTGGTGTTTCAATTTTTTGGTGCATTTTCAGAAGCCTGCATTTTCTGAGCCCTGCATGGAAGCTGTGCTTCCTCCCCAGCACTTCCATGGCCATTTTGGGCTGGCAGGACTGTCAGGCCAGGAAATCATGGAATGATTTGGGCTGGAAGGCACCCTAAAGGTCATCTAGTTCTATTTCTTTGCCATGGGCAAGGACACTTTCCACTAGAGCAGGTTCATCCAAACCCCATCCAGCCTGGCCTTGGAAAGAGCGTTACATAGGCAGAGGGCAAGGCCACAAGCCTTTTGCCGTTCATCTTTTTTTCTTTGTTTAAACATTAATTAATCTCTTTGTTTGTCTTCCCCTGCTCCCAGTTTTGCTCAAGGCCCATTGAAAGATGCTCCCAACCTGATCTGCACCCCCCACACAGCCTGGTACAGCGAGCAGGCGTCCCTAGAGATGAGAGAAGCTGCTGCCACAGAAATCCGACGTGCGATCACAGGTACCCAGCCCCTGGGGGTGCTGGGCTTGGCTCCCTGGGTGCCTGGAACGGGAGCCAGGAGGAGCAGAGACAGGGATTCACCCTGCCCATGTTCCCAGCAGCACACTGGGAAAGGGATCTAACCCCAGTTTGCTTCCCAGTGAAAGAGCTGAGAACCCAAAGTTCCCTGTTTTGTTGTGACTGGGTGACAGGTTTTGTGTTGGTTTGATTTTTTTAATGAATGGGCAAATATTGGAGTCTGTGACTGGGAAGAACAGGACAGGGAAGCAGAAACTGCTGCCCCTGTTACTGGTGCTAACCCACACAGTGGTGCAGACACAGCCACTGCATTCCAAAACCCAAATCCAAGGTGGTGGGCACAATACTCCAGCAATAGCGTTTCTCTTGTCCTAAAAGTTTCCCTCAAGGGAACACCTCCTCTGAAAGCCAAGTGTTGGGAGTGAGTGAGGGTGGGAAACTTGTCTCCAACCCTGCACCTCGGGACAGTCAAAACATCCTCCTGAAACAAGAAACGTGGGATTATTTTTTTTCCTCCCACCCTTCACACTGACATAGTGAAATTATAAGCATTACAGCTCATTAGAGGGTGATAAAGCTGGGCCCTCCCTAACACAGGCTCCCCTTTCTTGCCATCTCCAGGCCGCATCCCAGAAAGCCTAAGGAACTGTGTGAATAAGGAATTCTTTGTCACGACGGCCCCGTGGTCAGTAATAGACCAGCAGGCGATTCATCCCGAGCTCAATGGTGCCACGTACAGGTGAGCGGGAGAACGGGGACACCGCGAGCACCCGGCGAGGACAGCGAGGGTGGCACCCCCCTGGGGACCAGCCCTCCCAGCTCGGGGTTACTCCAAATCCAGGGCTGTAGTCAGGTGACCCAATTTCCACCTAAATCCGAGATTGAGGGTTACTTACAGCTCGGTTTAGATGGCTCCAAGTGTGCTGGTAGGAGACGTTAGGCTCAAGCAGCTGGAGCATGGGCTCATTCAGAGCATCACCACTGCCAAAAATACTCTGAGCTACAGAATACTCTGCAGGGCACATCAGGGCATGTCAGGCAGAGCCAGGCCAGAGTTACCCAGCAGCAGAGCCCCAAGGCCCCAGGCAGCTCCTGGGCCATGCAGGCCACAGGCAGTGAAGGCTCCCTCTGACCAGCAGAACATCCAGACCTGGAAAAAGCCTCCCCCTGTTCCCACTCTTGTTCCCAAACATGGGGGCAGTGCCAGGACCTGAGGACAAGCCTTGGCTTTCCCAGCTTAACCTGTCTCTGCAGGGAGCTTCATCCTGGCTAAGCTCCTGCAGCCCTGGAGCCCCTGGAAGCTGGCTCAGCTCTCCACCATCACAGGCAGGTAAAATTCCCCTCCCAGCTTCCCAATCCACCTTGCCTCAAGGCAGTGGAGTCACAGGAAAGTGGGAGCCCTCAGGCCTCACACAGCCACAGAGCTCCACATGGTTTTGTCCTCATTGCCTCCACATCACAGCTGAACAAAATATTATTAATCTCCTTTTCCACACTCACTGTTGTTTCTTGGAATGTGTACAATTCCTCCTGCTCTTGCAAAAGGTAGATTAGTTCTGATCCCCTCTTTGAGCTGTGCTGTTCCATGAGGAAGATGCAGCTCACATTCCACATAGGGAAAATTTACAGGTGTTCAAAGTATGCACACACAGTGATGATGGGGTCAGCGTGCCAGCATTTGGGGTTTCAGAGAGCATCCCAGATGGTTCCTTACCCAAATTTCCAAAGGAGAAGGGCTTCCCCATGGTCCAGGAGGCTGTGAGAAGGCACAGAACAAGCTGCAGTCCTGGTGCTGTAACAGTGACACTTACCCAAGGCACAGCAGTTGATGTTTATTTCCAAGCTCTCCCTTGTAACTTAAAAGCAAAACCAAACCTGGCTGCAGGAGAGAAGTGGGATCTCTTTGCTCTTTTCTCCACGGTGGGCTGACGGGTGGGTGATGAGCTCTGCTGTGACAAACCTGCCTCTGTGTGTCTCCTCTGCCAGGTATCCCCCAGGGATGGTCAGCGTGGCACCGGGAGGAATCCCAGCAGCTATGGAGGGGATCATTCCCGGAGGCATCCCTGTCACTCACAACCTTCCCACAGTGGCACATCCTTCCCAAGCTCCATCGCCCAACCAGCCCACAAAACACGGGGACAACAGGGAACATCCCAACGAGCAATAGCAGAGAATTTAAAAACCATTCAATAAACTTAGGACCAAGAGACATTGGAAAAGAAGTTATACATGAACTAAAAGAGAAGAATTTGATACGAAATTTGTAATGTTGATTTTGGACAGACGCATCATTGATGTTCCAGTGTTCCCGACAAAGTGACAGCAGCCAAGACTGGGGAGAAGCCCTGGAGAAGTCACCTGCTCCCTGCAGTGCTGAAAACTAGGATGTGATACGTTAATGAGCAACTTCTGTTATTGTGTGTTGAGTTTCCTTCATCTGTGCATCAATCACATGAATAAAAATGAATTTCTTTTCCCCCCTCAATTCCTTGGGAAGGACAGGGCTCCTGCACTGTGTCCAGGCCACTGAATTAAGCCATCTTTACTGAGTTAACAAGAAACCATTGTGTGGCTTCAGCCCTTTCCTTTCTCTTGCATCTGGTGACCTCTCCTAACGGGGGGCAGCAGTCCTGGCTTAGAAGTGGAAGAAAAAAAAAGAAAATACTCCTCCTCCTCCTTTTTGCAGTCTCACAGGGCCAGTGCCGTGTAACAGAAGTTCTCCTGCCAGGTCTAAGTTCCAGCCATTCCAGCTGGGATCTGTGGGATGGGGAGGGCAGAAAGGGCTCCTGGCACTGAGCACTGCCCTCCCAGGCTAAGGAAAACCAAACTGCCAGTCTCTTCTCTGCCCAGTACACTGAATAAAGTAGCTGTGCATCCACCTACGCCCTGCAATGATGCAAGAAAAACTGAAAGAAAAAAAAAAGAAAAAAAAAGGAAAAAAAAAAAAAGAAGAAAGTATTAAGTTTCACACACTATTTGTACTCAAATATATTTTCTCAGTTTTAAATCTGCAGCTATTTTATCAAGTGGAAAAAGTCTTGAGCTGGAAAGGGTTCAAGAATAATGTTGCATTTCCTTATGTCTCAGGAAACACTTTTTATGGTAACTTGTCAGACTGTCTATGAACAAAATCCACTTTTTTAGACATTGATAAAAGTCTTCTTTTCTTCACGTGATATTTTATACAAGAACACTTCAAGATGTGTTATTAGATGTGACTGATTTTAACAAATCCTATTAGATTTGTATCAACTAGTTACATGTTATATTCATAGTCTTTTGTGAATCATCGCCTTTTTGTTTTTAAAGATGGCCTGTTTTGAGCCTTTGTATGGGTACATTCCTGTTTCTGTGACAAAAAAAAAAAAAAAAGAAATCTTGAGCTGTCCCAAACAGACAAAAAAAGAAACCAATGGCTATCAGTATGTTTTGTTTTAGTGTGTTACCGTTACTGTATTTGTTTATTGTAAAGGTGGACATTTAGCGTTCAGTGCAGTTTTCAATAAAAAGTGATAAAATTTCTATAATTTCTGGAAGGCAAGAGCTCTTGCTGCAGTCTGGGGCTTGGAGACACTGAGAGGTAACCATAAGGTACAGAAACATAATTCTGATCATATTTGGTGAATATTTACAGTGGGAGGGGAAGGGCCCTTCCAACTCAGACCATTCTGTGATGAAGTGATCACTGTGGGTTTCCACTAAGCTACAAAGGCAGCTACAACTCAAACTAACATTTTCTGTACATTTTCAAGAGCTGAAGCATTATCAAACCACTGGAAAATAAAGCCCAAAAAAGTGCTCAGGAGGTGCTGCTTGAGCCTCACTGGGCAAAAAGCCTGTTCTTGTTTCTACCCTTCTTTCCCCCTGTGTTCAAGTGCCACACACATGGAGTTAGATGGGGACTAAAAAAAGCTGAAACCAAAGTGTCCAAGTTACAAAACTCTGTATTTTGTTTGCTTTAAATTAAACTGAAAACTTGGTTACCAGCTTCAAACATCAACAAAAGAGGTCACCTGTTACAGAGGGATTGCTCTTTGTCAGTGCTTAGCACAGCCCAGCGGTGAATTATCCGTGACCTCTGCAAGAAACTTGGATAAAACAGGTCAGATATGGGGAAAAGTGTTTGGGAGACACTGAAATGACCATCAAAACCAAGAGGAAAACATTTAATTGATGTTAAGGTTTAGAGTTGTTTTAAAAATAAATGAGCCCTGGTACTTTGTTTCTCAATAATCCGATAACCTCCGTGCGCCGCAGGATCCGTGAGGCAGCAGTGACTCCGAGCTCAGAAAATGCTGGAGCTTTCATCCAACACCCAACTTCCCTTTCGGCCAAAACCAAGGACAGAAGTGCCACAAGCTCAACAGGAGCAGAGGTTAAGCCATCCCAAGGGTTCCAAGTGCCTGCAGGGAGAACACCAGCACAACATGCAAAGACTGGAGCCATGGAAGCGGAAAGGGAAGAACATCATCACAGCTGGGAGATGCCAAAGCACCAGGAGCTGCAGCTCTCAAATGGAAAATTGCTGGGCAAAGAAACAGGAGATGAACAGTTGCTGCTGAAGGTTTGTGGCTGACAGAGCCATGCTGCTCTTGTCCCGCTCAGGGAAGGCAGGCAGGAAGGCTCTCCTGGGATAATCATCTCTTTCTCCAGGGAAACTCCAAAGTAGCTGTCAAAACAAGCAGCTTCAAGGTGACAAATAAAACCTTTTGAAAAGGGCATTAGGGGAAGTTACTGAATAAAAGGGGGGAAAATGAAAAGCAGAAATTAAACAAAGTCTCCAAACACAAACCCACATGGGTAATGGAGGAAATGCAACTCAGGGGTACTTGCCATAAGCCATGCAGCAGAACTTTGGAAGAATCCAGAATTACTAAATTTTAATATATTAAAGCAAAAGAAATACAGGGATTTTCACTGAGGAAGTCATAAATAAAACCAGAAAAAAAAACTGACCAGCTGTAAAGGAGGTAGCAATGAAAAGCTAAGTTCTATGCTAGGAAAACGTGTACTGCTGCGAGTAATATATGAGGAAAATAACATTGAGAAACCCGATTTTTAATATATATTTTCATGGCTGAAAGTGCAGAACTTGCTGACAAGCTGCAGGGGAGTGTGTACAGATTAATCTCAGTGTCTGTAAACTTTCAGGTGTGTGATTGAGGAGCCACTGACATAGACTGACTGTGGTGCGAGCACTGGGGGTTGCAGCTCTTTAATCTACAGGTACAGGAGATTTGGATTACTCTGATTCTGAAAAAGACACTTCACCAGTTCCCAAAGGGCCTGTGAACCATGTGAACCTGAACAGACCATTGTACAGCACATCAGAACAAAATAATGATCAAGGAAACCAAGTGATCCAAAGTACCAGGACTGTCCTGTCAGAGCAGAACCAGAAATTCATTGGTGCATGCGTTTGAGAACAGCTGAACTGAGCACGGGGACTCCATTGCTCTGGGGGGGACAGGGACACAATGCAGGCTGCCCATGGGCAGCAGGACAGGAGGGCAGGACAGCTGGGCCACTTTGGCTCAAGGCAGACTTTCACATTGGTAATTCTCCCCTTGGGACAAGGAAGCTTCGCTTCCCTGAACGGAACAGCACTGCCAAAAGCACACAGGGTGGGAGGTGAAAACTCCACAGCCTGCCCTGAGCAGCCCATGGAATCAGGGGCTTTCCCTTCTGTCCACAGGGCAGCTGGTCAGGGGCAGGCTGGGATCTGAAGTTACAGGTCTGGCCACTGATGGACTGAGAGCTCCTCAAGCTGGCTGAGTTAGGACCCCCGTGGTCACAGCACGACAAATAAACCACTCCAGCACACGGTGCAGGCCAGCTCAGGGCATGGAAATCCTCATCCCAGCTTACCCTGCATTCAGCTCTCCTGACAGAAAAGCTTTACATCCTCAGCTAGACAAGGTATAAAAGGATTTCACTGCAAGGTAAGGACAAAAAAAAAAAAAAAAAAAACCCAATTTAGAAGGGGAACTTGAACCAGGACCGTGCATTCATGAGGAATCCCTGTAATATCTGGGGTTGGGTGGTGAATTTGGGTCACTCACACATGGCAGAGCAGCATTCATCCTTCACCTGGAAATCTGGGCATGCACCAAGCAGAGGAAATCTAATGGCCAAAAAAGGTGAAGACATAATAAACCTCAGTGGAATCTAGGACGGGAAAATTGCAAAATTAATACAGTACTTAATTATTTCTTTACTTTTGGTGTCATCACCAAGTTTCTGTAGGAGTTGTGCACGTTTCAACACCATCTAAGCAGCATTTGGAAGAAAAAGCAGCAAGTTCCTCAGGGTTTCCATAGCTCTGAACTACATAAAAATAGGTGCTATGGGGCTTCTTTCCAAATTCTAATTAAAACAGTTTCATCTACTGGAAAATTTCTTATTCAACCACCACACCATCAAAAGTGCTTTTCAAGACAACCTGAATTGCACTGTATATGTAAAAACTGGCATTAACCTTTAGTGTTTCAGTGAGATTTTTAGATAAACTTTATCCATTACAGGTTACATGGCTAAAGTTATCAAATATAATAAAATTTCTACTGGAGAATATACTCTGAACTTACAGTCTCAGGAACTTACATAAGTTTAAGTATGGCCACATCAATCAACATGCAAGAAATTCCCAGGTTTACATACTGGGAAATATATAACAGTGCTTTTAAACAACTTGAGCATAAATTCTTCTTTTTAATTAGAACTGCCAAGTGGATTCTCAGTAGATTTAGTGACCGAGGAGTAACCTTTAAAAAGGTGTTTTTTCATTTGCAGCAAAGTTTGAGTGATCAAAGAATAAATGATAAAATGATATAATTTGTAACACAGCAAGACAGAGTTCTGACAAGATTAAATTCTCAGTTGTGTTCAAGTTCTCAGATTTCACACAATTTTGTTTAGTGTATGCTCACAGGAATAAAATCCCTATCTTTTAGGTCACTTCTCTGAATAAATATCCTTATGTATACTGAAAGGAACTATTAACTATTACAATAACTAAAATATTAGTAAAATAATGAATGTATTTTTGCTTATGACTTGCTGTGGATATCTGTGCAAACAAAAAAAAAACCTCTCACAATCTGACCTGGGCACTAGTGAGATTTCACAGGAAAGGGCCTTTCAGGGAAATGTATCAGAGTATCTAAAAGGTGATGGAGAAGACCAGGTTCTACTGTAAAAGAATCTCAGAAGGAGGAGATATCCATCCAGCTTCACATGTGCTTTCAGAAGTGCCCTTAGTTGAAAAATTTCTCTGCAATAATTAAGATGCTGGTATACGTTTCCTATTACACAACCTCTTACACAACCACATGCGGTACATTTATAGACAGATTTACAGTCAGAAAGAAAAATGGGGTTGGTTTGGTTTGTTGTTTTCTTTTTTTTTCCATCTTGATAATAAAATTAGCTGTTTTTTGTTTCTTTTTCATGTTTTTATACAAACTGTAGTCCAGCCCACTTGGCTCTCTCCAGGCAGCAGGATGAGCGTCCATCCTCTCCGCGTGCTGTCGGAGAATCCTTCCCAGCAAGTATCCCCTAGACCTGGGTCGTTCCACACCCAACTGCTACAGCACAACGCTCACTCGGGGTCACACACTCTGCGCTGCTCATTTGCACTTTATTCCCCCTCACTCATCGTCGTCATCCTCGTCCTCCTCGCCGTCGGATAGGGACGTGCAGGGCCGGATCTGGCGGTAGCGGTCGAGCCACTTCTCCACCATCTGGGTGACCAGCGGGTGGTTGCGCCGGCGGGAGCTCTTCTGCATGGCCACCAGAACCCCTCCCTCCGTCACGCAGCAGTCCAGCCACTCCCGCAGCAGCTTCTCCTGCTGCTCCTCGTTGCCTATCTTTGGGGGACACAAAACACCAGCAGTGAGGTTCCCAAAGGCCCAGCGCCATTCCTGCTCCACGCGCGTCGTGTTGGATTCTCCTAATCTCTACTCTAGCCTCTGTTCCAGGCAGCCACTCCAAGGCTACTCTAAAAGATGCCCACTGCATTTTCACCCAAGAGCTGCAAGTACTCTCCAGCTCTTCTCCCCAGTTTTTCACTTGTATATTTCCAGTATGACCTACAGTTATTTTTAAGCTATTATTTATCTATAGCAAGCACCATATATAAGGAATTAAGTCCTAGAAGAGCTTTCTGGCTTTACAAACACATTTTTAGGTGCCTAAGTTCTTGGCATGAAATATTTTCTCTTGTAAAATGTAACAAGTATTGTGGCTTGCTGAAGAAACATCTCTTTCTAGACTTGAAGCTCCTATTTTTCTCCTTTTATTTAAAGAATGCCCACATTCTGCAATTACTTCTGTTTTCCAGCCCTCCTTTCACCCATGCACACCCTTTAGTGACAGATTTTAGTTTTGCCTCAGTGACAGAACACTTATTTTTGTGTCCTAAGCATGCTGATATTCAGTGTTCTTGGGCACAGTGTGGGGTTGTTGGGGTGTCCAGTACAGGGCCAGGAGTTGGACTGGATGATCCTTGTGGGTCCTTTTCTAGCTCAGGACATTCTGTGTTTCTATACTATGATCCTGTTTCTGTGATTTACATGGACAGTGAAGTACATTCCATTGACAGAGCTGTAAATAAGCATCAAATTTGTGGGAAAATACCTTTCAGAATCACCTGGAATGATGGAGAAGGGAGCAGCATTAATTAACCAGCACCCTCCCCGTAATTCTTTGGACACCAGGGAGCTCCAAAGATTGCTGAGCTTCAGTGAGCAGCTGTGACAAAGTCACCACCACACACCAGATGTCTCTTTCTTACCTCTTGAGCAGAAAGGAAGTGAATGTGCAATAATTTCCTCTCGCTGTCCACCAAGGGTAGAAAAGTAACAGTAACATCATCGTCAGTGTTCAAATTAGCACCAGCGCCTCGATTGCCATAGCCATCGTTCTCCATGGCAACCAGGGCGGAGAAATGGCCCCTCGTGTAGCCCAGAGCTATGGGACTTTTCCAACAAAAACTCTGTTCCCATAACAAAGGCAAATACACACCTGTGGGAGTGAAACATGGGGTAAGGCTCAGAGCTGCTGCTCAATGAGGAAGGGTTTTGATACAAACCTTGTGGTTTGGGTCAAACAGAAGCACATCACATTTAAAACACACATGGTTGGGTCTACACTGACACAGGCACACTTTTCAGTAGAGCTAATTGTTATTAATTAACACAAGTCAAGTATCTTTGCAACTGTACAAGTTTAAACACAAATATTACAATCACAACCAATACATTACCACAGCCCTAAAATTTACAGTTTATAGTGCAGTGATGAACGAAAAACAAGTTTAGAAAAGCAAAAAGCAGTCGTTTATGTTTGGTAACTTTTCTTAAAATAAAAAGGAAAAAAGAAGGAAAAAAAAAATCAGATTATGCATCATAAAGGCTACATTCAGCTATTTTTACCAGAGCAAAAATCCCACCATCTGCTCACAAAACTTATTATTAAAAGAACTCACTGCACAAAATGTTACTCAGCACTGATGTAACCCATCCCAGAGAACGGGACTGCTCATATTCAGTACTCACAGATTAAATTAACACACATCAATTATTCATATCAATTTAAAAAAAAAAAGAAGATAAAAAGAAGCACCAAAAAGCTGATACTGCTTTGCTCAGCTTACAACCAACACCTGATGTCACAGATTCTGAGAACTGCACTTTTACTCCCCACCGTTTTTAGCAATAAAGACAGCAGTTCGCTCCAGGTCTCAAAATAAAACTGCAGCTCCTTTCTTCCAGGAATATAAATAATTCTTGGTGTGTACTTCTGCAAGACAACTTAAGCAAAAGCACAGCTCACCTTGTGACAGGTTAAAAATAGCCCCACATAAACTCAAGTGCACATGTAGCATAGCAACCTCCTGGTACAGCTGCTGCTGCAAACACAGCGCTCCTCCGACAGCCATGGAGAGGGAAGGGCAACGCTAAAAACGGGAATTTGAGGCAGGGAATGGCTTTGGAGGTTCTGCTTAAGTTTTGAGCTCATCTTTTTGTACTGAAGTAAAAATTAGTGGGGGCTACCAGTAAATAATTGTCCCTTTTTCCTCCTCTCCTTGTTTTTGAGTTAGAAATCAAGAGCTATCTAGTCTTGCCATTTGTTTAAAATGAAGATTCACGCAAGTTTTTACAACACCTCGATGTAAAGACAGATCCTTTCAATACCTTCTCAGCCCTCCCTTCCTCCTGTCCCCATTATTAAGTCTTACTCTAAAGCAATGTTAAACACAAAAGGTGAAGAACACGGGGTACGTGTTCATCAGAAAATTTTAAGCCTTTGCATTAAGAGAAAGAAGCAAGCATCCAGTCAAAACTCAAATTTACACCAAAGATGACATCTATTCAAATGTAAGGAAGACAGTCCTCCAGTTCCTGGGAGCACAGCTATGTGATCTTTCAGGACTGAAACTCATCTGTTTGCCTCCATCTCTACACTAAAATTCAACAAGTGTTTGGAAATCTTCTTTCACCGTTGTTTTATCCTGGGGAAAATTCCACACTAATCATATTTCCCCAAGACAGAAGGCTGTGCTAAACTTTCCATTCCTCCTCAACACTGTGATGAGCTCCACAGGAAAAGAATTTAAAGCATTGCCAGGGAGAATATCTAGTGCTCTTAGGAGTTATAAAAGTCACTCTGATATAAAGCCAGAAGGTCATGTAACAAGAGTTGACATGAACACAAGCCACAGAAAATAAAGAATATGGGCTAACACCTATCCTGAAGCCACCCACATAGGATTTAGTTTCTCCAGCCTGACCTGATGATCACTTCAGTCAGTCATCTTTTTTCCTGTTCAATTTTAAAAGCTGTGTAAATAAATGTGGCCAGACCAGAAGGGTCTGACCAGGATCATAGTTAGGGATTGAGCAAACAGATCTTCCACCACTGAAGCTGCAGTATTTAAAGAATTAACAGCTGGAATCTGGGAAGCAGGGAGGCTGGCAATTATGGATTCATAGCAGCTACAGCAAAGATGCCAAGCTGGAACAAGGAATCCCTGGGGAAAAAAAAACCTGTCAGGGAGAGAATTTATGGGGTGTCTAAGAGGGTGCTACAAACTGAACCATGATGTTGAACAAGCATTTAAAAAATTCAATTCCCCATTTCTACGATAATCCGCAATTACAGAGTGGTTTGGGTTGGAAGGGACCTTAAAGCCCATTCAGTTCCACCCCCTGCCCAATCTTCCACGATCCCAGGTTGTTCCAAGCCCTGTCCAACCTAGCCTTGGATACTTCCAGGGACTTTTCTGGTGGATGTGATGTTAAACAGATGCAGGGACACCCCAAAACTCCCCAAAGCTCCACGTGCTGAGCACAGCCCACACCCAGAGCAGGAGACTCCTCCGGGCAGCCCACCCCACTCCCAGTCCACTCAGCTGGGTTTCAGCTGTGCCAATGACATTTGATTTGCACACATTAACCACAAAAACGTGGCTGGGCAGGGAGAGGAGCAATTCCAGCTACTGTGACACAGGACTCCAAGTTCACCTGTTCCCAGTGCTGCTTCCATGGATGGATGGATGGATGTGGATTGTGGCAAGTAAATCTCAAGGGGTAACTATTTGGGCTGCCTAAATTCCTGGAATCCCATGTGCAGTAAAAGGGTGTTCCAGGCACCTGGCTTTCTTCTGGTTCACAGAGTAAGAAAATTTCAGAACATTTAAGCCATGTAACACTTGTCTGCCTCAATGCCCAGTCTAGGAAATAATAGCATTTGCAAACCACTAAGCCTTGGAGTTAAAAGCAACACAAAGCTGGAGTGTCAGATTTAAGTGAAACAAATAATTATTCCTTCCCAGCCTTTCATCATCAAAAGAAAAGTTAACATCTAACTACAACAACTACTCAACTTCTAGACTCTTCAGAAAAGTAATTAATTTCCCCACATGAAGTTTTGTTACTGCCCCAAACTTAGAAGCCATGACTCTAAATAGTTATAAATTAACTGCACAGCTTAGGTTTTAGGTTAGGGTTTTCTATTGATCATGGGCTTGCCTCCTTCCAAGTCACCACACTTATTTCTTTCAAATCACAAAGGTGTTTTGGGAAGTCCTCAGCTAAGCTAGAAATAAAGAGTGGTCATCATCAAGCAGATGTACTTGAGAGCAGGAATACAAAACTGTGGGCAAAACAAATGTGCCAACCCCCTGGAACACACACAGCTCCTTTCCCATGGGTTCTGTTTACAGCTCACTTTGTGCAGATGCTCCCAATCCCCACTCATGTTTTATTATTTGAATAATGAAGTATTAGCATGTTACAGAGGTGAAAGCTGCCCACAGATTTGGCTTGCAAAGCAGAAAATACATGTTTAGAAATCTACAGATGTTAAGTCTAAGCAAAACTGGACTGAGTCATCTTCATATATAAGGACAGTCAGGCTGTCCTGAAGACAAGCAGGAGGAAAGGTCAGAAAGAATCTGATCAAGCTATGCAAAATTGTAGTACTAATGAGGAATAAGTCAGTATTCACACCACACTTGCTGTAAAGTGTGAATCACTAAAACACAGATAATTTTAAAAACTCCCTTTAAAGTATCATGAAATTCACTTTTACAGGCACCATGCCCACTATAAAATGAAAAACTGCAAGTTTGGAGTGGATTATTTTGTTCTTTTTAATAGCAAATGAAAATTTACCTACAGTATTATTCCATCCTTTTCCAGACAGTCACTTCATGTCACTACTGATTTACAGCCCAACCTTGTTTAAAAGTGAATTTAAAAAATGAAAGGCTTACCTTGGAAGCGGGTATATCCTAATGTTTCTCCCCGAAAACTCTTGTAATATTTTACTCCATAAACTATAATTGGTCTTCTAAGAATATGTGCAAGTACAAAAATGTGTGTCTGCTCCAAACTCGCTCCAGGCTGAACCAAACACAAAGAAAGACATCACTTGAAACAGAACCTTCCATCCTCTACTTTGAAATTTGAAAAACAGTCTTCAGATTGAGAGAGAAAATGCTTTTAAGAGTGATAAAGCTTTGACAGGAAAAAACAAGACTGGAAAATTATTGGAAATAAGGGAAAACATTTCAGCTTGTCAGCTGTCAGTAGTAATTCTCTGTCCTATTGTCCAGATTCAGTGTAATGGATTTCATTCCCCATTTAAAAGTGAAACTCTCCATAATGTTAGGTCTAAAAATAATTCCTTCATCTGAGGGCACTTTAAGGCAAATACCTTTTGATGATAGGAAAAGGGCACATCCAAAAAAAAATCTCAAAAAAATAGCACCAAAATCATGTCTGTACTTTAAAAGTGGAGCTAAAAATACTCCCATAGCTGGAAGCTTATAGGAATGTAAATCTCATTTACAGGGGAGTTACAAAATCTCAGCTTGCTGGAGTTTGAGCAGGGTAAGATGGCAGATTTGGAAGTGTGTTTTGGGAGGTAAAAGTGCTTCAAGAGCTGGATTTTAAACAGGATTGTCTGTTAGTCTGTTCTACAGACTTCACTCTAATACCACAATTCTTTTTTTGTGTTGCACTGCTTAGGAAGCTCAAAAATCATAATTTCAAATTAACCTTTCTATATCTGTAGAAGAGTTTACCCAGTGAGATTTTAAGATCATTTGCCTGAGAGGAATGTTTTTCCTTCATACAGGAATATTGTTATCTCTGAAAAACTCTTCTAGTTCTGAAACTTCTTTTCAGAAATTAAAATACCTTTTCCAAAAGCCCTCTAACAAAGGAATTTGCTTACCTGGCTTGCAAGAGAGAGAATGAATGCCCAATCTTCCTGCCACTGTTCCTCTCGCAAGGAGAAATGTAAACCGAAGCTTTGGGAATACCACGATTCCCACTCTTTCCAGCGTGTGTAGAACCTAAAATGTTAAGAGAGAGAGAGAGAAAAAAAATTGTAAAGGCAAAAATATTTACTCAACCACCATAATCCTGACAGCAGTATTGAACCCTTGTAATCCTTCATCCCAAGAAGGGGGAAGAAAGAGAGCAAGTAGCAGGAAAAGTGAATTTTGTTTTCTTTTTTATCTTCAGGAGATTCCATTTATTAATCTTAATTTAAGAACCACTTAAAAAAAAACAAAACAAAAAAACAATGCCTGCAGCAAACATGATCCAAGTTCCTATCAGGCTCCTGCCTAGTTTGATACTTCTTGCAATAGGGTTGTTTTTTTTTTAATCTTATTTAGGCTTATTTAAATGTTGATATACAAGGAACATAAGTAAGATATTCAATTTTATTCAACAGTTGCTGCTCATTCTTCTCAAACAAAAAAAAAATAGGTATTTTCTATTTTTAGCCACATAATGAGTCAATTAACTTCAAAGTACTTGCATATCAATTTCCAAAAACCCATGGTTAAGAGGCAGAATCTGTTTTATATACCAGATTTTGGAGCAAAGGAGTGGTAATTCCACATTATATGGAGCTGTAAAGCAGTGTGGATAAAAATCAAATAAGCAAAGTGGGATTTAGTTTAGTCATGATATTTTATTTAACCATTTACCAAGAAAAATGATACGTTCAAGGAAGATGTTTGCGTTCTAATATTTAAAACTCTGTCTAATCACCACTCTATGGAAAAGCCACAACTTCATATTAGGAACAGGGATTTAGGGAACAGTTCCAAGCCAACTTTTAAACAATGCCCTTTACAGTGAAGACAAAGAAACCATTCTAAAGTTTCAGCTTATTAAAAAAGTCACTGAAATGAACTCACCTAATTAAAACCTGAGAATATTAGCAGGCAGTGAGTGTGTGTGGGTAAGATCTTTCCTATGCTTTCAGTGAAGCTGGAATCACCTTAAAATCTTGTGTATTTCAGCAGCCACCAGCCAGGCTGGGTTTGCAGAATCCACCTAAAATCTTGGCTTAACTTTAAATTCCTATTATTAAGATATTTGGATAGGTCTGTGCCAATTGACAGTAATATTTACAGGGATTCATCTGGATCTACATTCCAGTTTCTATCCAAACACACCAACACTTCCACCTTTGTAGCTGATAAATATTTGCCTATTTTCTGTCATGAATCTCTAACAGCACTCTGAATTAATTCCTGGGTCTCCTGAAAGAAATTTCATCAGATTCTGGTGAAGAAAAAACAAAACAACAAAAACTCCCACATCACCAGAATAAGACAGAAAGCCCAGAAAATTCAAGGGGAAAAAAGGAAAACTCCAAACTACTCCCTAAAGCTGGACTGTGAAAGCGTTCTCCTAAAGAAGTTTCTTCCCTGAGTTAGTCAGCCATAGAAAAGATTTTGATGTCATTTAAAGCAAACTTTTTAGATTAACACAAGAGAAGTGAATGCATCCATTAAAGAATAAAATTCTGAAAGTCAGCTTAGGACATGTGCCCATTCTCCAGCAAAAGCTAATGGTGGAATACAAAAAGGGACACATCAGAACACACTTTTGTGTGAACTAAAAAAGTGGAGTTATTGAAAGGTGAGTGGAAAAGACTCCACAGGCCAAAGCCCCTGGGAACTTCACTATGGAGCTTTTTCTGAGTATGAGACACAAGACTCTCTGGTAAATAGATTTTTTCTTTGTTCAGCATCTAAACAAACATATCAAAATGAGGTCAAATGAGTTACATGAGTGTTTTCTGTCTGACTATAAAAATACCCATTTTTAAGTGTCTTTGTGGAGGCTTTGAAGAATAATTCCACTAGATAAAAGTTTAAGCAGGGATTGCATTTAAGAGCCTGTTCCAGTGACGACATCACTTCCTATCGGCCACATGTCCTAGCCCACAAAATTAAATATATCTTCTCAAATGGAATCCATACAGCACCTATAGAATATACAGAATAATCAATTTACAACAGGATCTGGCTAAAAGACTTATTCTAAAACCTTGTTCCTAACAAGGAACACTATCTGTTCCTTGAATACTTGTTCCTTTCAGTCTGAAGATCTGTTCCCTTGAAGGAACATATCAATCAGTTAAAAATTATGCTTCTAATAAGGATAAAGATTACACAGAGTAAAACAAAAATTCTGTCTAGACATAAACTAAAAAGCTTAACAAGACTGAATAGCCTCTAAATGAGAGATATGTTAAGATACAGGAGTAAGTCAACCACAATTAACACCAACATCTTGAGAGATTTGGTCCAAAGCTCAGTAGTTTGCAGCGTGTTTTTGGACACCATAAAGAACAAAACCTCATCTATCCTAAATTTCTATTCTGGCCTCATGGGAGCTGCCTGTGATGCCAGGGACATTCCTGCATGGCTGAGATGCACACTCCATGCTGAACAACTCCTAAGCAGTGACAGATCCTTTCCAACACTGGTTCCTGGAAGAATTGCTGAAGCACCACTTTCTGCAATCCAGCTCTGGATGCTGATTTGTGTAGTTCTCCCCCAACAGCACAAAATTTACTTACAGGTACCTCTAAATTAATCTTTGTTGTTGACCTCCTGTACAGTAAGAGGACAGGGACAAGCTCTTTCTGCAATATGTGTGCTGACAGTGTTTCTCCTGTCCTTGACTACAATGGATTATCAGTCTTTATCAGCTCATCCCTTAGTCCAGGACACCCTGGACAGCTGCTGAACACCCCTGGGGGTCCAACTAAGATTGTCCCTGTAGCAAAAGGAAACCAAAGTATCTGACTAAAGAAGACTGTCTGTGCAAAGCAACAAAAGTTGTTTTACAGAATAATAAATCAATTTTATGGCCAAATGACAGAACCAGTTAAATGTCAACACTCCCTGCTTTACTGCCATTATTTTAGCAGACAGAATAGGGATAAAAAGAGCAATCCTGAGTAAAGCCATAACTAAGCAGATGGAATGAAAATACTGCAAAGTTTATAAGGAATAAAAGGCTATCTTCTACTAACAATCTTCTGCTCCCACCAAGCCAGCAAGGCATGGCATGTGCATGATTTACATTGCAAGGACACAAATTCCAGCTGCAGTAACCGTGGTTAGTGCATGCTTGACAAGTAAGTATAAAGCATTTTAGTGTTTGAAATGCCATTTGCTGAGCATCACTCCCCATCCCTGAGTTCACAGCATCCAAGTTTCCAGTGCTCATATTTAAAACACAGGATCCCAGCTGGGACCACAGTGAGTCGGCAGCTCTGAGGAACAAATCCCCAGGGAACTGGGGCAGGGTGGCTGTGGGGTTCTGCTGTGAGAGCACATGGAAGAAGCTGTCCTAACTCACCAGTGGGAGCAGTCGTGTAAACTGTCGTGCAGAGCCTTGCGCAGCACGGAGTCCTTGTCGTAGATGCCCCAGGTGGCCTGGAGCACGGAGTCGAGCAGGCAGTCCCCGGCAGTGCGGTTCCAAAGTGCGTACAGCCTGCTGTCCAGGCGTGTCCCCAGCTCCAGGGACCAGTTAATGATGGGAGACTCCTCTTCCAGCTCTGCAATGGCACAGCCAGCTCTTAACATGCTGTTCATTTATCTCAGAGATTTTGGACAGCACAATAATGGCAGTCTCAATAATTTACCCCTTTGCATGAATAAAACCCCAGTTTCCTTCATACCACAACGAACAGGTCAACTACACTGGATGAGGAAATTTCTACTACTCTCAGTAAAACAAACAAAAGCCAAACCACAGTACCACGTCGTTTGTTTGAGGATTGTTACTGAAATGAAAAGATTTTTTTCAGTTTTCCTTAAAAAGCTTGTAACTCAAAACTGACTTTTAAAGATTTTTAAAAGCTCTGTAAACATGATTTGTACTAACTCCATTCTCTCTCTGCATCATAAATAGCCTGGAAATGTTAAAATTAAAATAATTTTACATGGACATACAGTGACAAGACAAGGGGGGATGGCATCCCACTGCCACAGAGCAAGGTCAAATGAGATGTTGGGAAGAAATTGCTCCCTTTGAAAGTGGTGAGCCCTGGCACAGGTTGCCCACAGAAACTGTGGCTGCCCCATTCCCAAAGCTGCTGGTTTGGAGCAACCTGGTCTAGAGGTCTTCAAGGTCCCTTCCAGCCCAAACTATTCGGTAACTTTATGAATTCCAGGGTGAAGATCAAGTTGAAAGCATTCAATCTCTAAAACATGTTCCTGGACAGAGCCATATATATACAGACACATGTAGTTTATTTTTAGTAAGAGACACATTCTCTAATGAAAAGCCAGAAGTGATCCCAGCTGTTCCCAGTGCATTTACCTTTCTGAACATCTCTGTCAAGTACTTCATTAAATAATTTTTCCTGGACTGTGGGTGGTAAATCTTCAATATCTGGAAAAACAAAAAGCAAATACAAGAGTCACTTAATGTTCCTGTAAAAGAGACATCACCAGGAGCTCAGGAGAACTCACAGAACAGCTTTTTCCCTATCAGCCCTAACACCTCCTCTGGAAATCTGCTGTCATGTGTGACCCAAGGCTTTGCAGAGCTGCTGAGGCAGGTTTGCATCTCAGCCTCACTGTCACACCTTTGATGCAGGAAGGATCATCACAGCATGCATAGGGTAAGACTGGATTTCTCTGAAGGAGAAAGTGGAGAATCACTGTGAGGTGAGGAATTAAAAAAGGAGTATTTTTTACTTTCAACCCTATTATATTTTAGCACAGCTTCAATCCTAAGCAATGGTTTGCCACCCATCTGGAATGGCTTCTCCTCTGCAGTCTATCCCAATGGACAGGTACAGTTTGCCAAGGGATGTGTTCTTCTCCAGAACATCCCATTCCTCTCATCTCATTCAGGCTTTAATGAAATAGTTCTGAGAACCCTAATGGTTTGCAGCAAGTTAAAAAACAAAAAATGGGAAAACTATTGAGCTATGCCATGGAAAATGCCACTACTGACAACTGCTCCAAGAGCATTACAGACAGAATTTGCAACAACCTCATAAAAAAAGAATTAAAAAAAAAGGTGGAAAATTCTATAATGGGCAGAACTCTTTTGTGACTGCTGTATCATTTAGAACAACAAACACTGTCACAGATTCTAAAACTCAGCATGTGCCTCACAGTAAATATTTGCTCCAGGCCTGCATTCCAACAGAGGATAAGCAGTAAAGGGTTGCCAGGCAGAGCAGCAAGCAGAGAAACTTTGCTGGTTTCAGCAGTCATGAAACTTAAACTCGTGAAAGTAAAGGTAGCAAATAAAATAGGAACAGGAACATCCAGCACCCCTTCAGGCACTCCAGGGGATAAGGACTGGTGCCTAAGTGGTATTTCAAGGACACAAAGATCTCTCTTAATTGCAGTGTGGTAGCTGCCAGTCCTGCTCAGATGTCTAGTACCCCAGGGCTTTTAAGTCCACATTTAGGTACATGAGTTGCTACTGAAGCACATTAATGCCTGGTGCAGGCAGGGTGATGTGGGGTGGTCTTTTTTTTTTTGGTATGATTGATTAGGGCTTTTTAAGCTAAAACTGTTTGCAGTGACCAGCAATCAATTTAAAAGCTTTGCTCTCTAACATCCAAGCATTGGCTTTTCAGGAGGATCAAATCTGTTTATTTGAAAGGTCGAGTGGAAACTGGTTCGTAAACTACATCATTTAAGTAATATCTGACCAGGATTGTGTGATTTCTACTTCTATCCTTGGAAATGCTCTCTGGAGCCAAACTGCAAAAGATGTGCAGTTGGCAAAGTGTGAGGAAAGCAGAAAGTCTTGATGCATAAAAGCTTCTGAACAATTTCATTTTTTAATTACTTAACAGCTATTACACGTGTCAAAAAGCTGCACAGTGCTTTAAGATGTCTCTCTTGAAAATACTGAACAAATTCTTAAGCTCTGGAGAGAACATTTCTCCCATGTGTTATGAAATCCTTCTGTTGCCCCTTTCCCCTCTCTCCCCCTAAAAAGCAATGAAATTTTAGTCTCCCAGACACCCCACATGCCTCTCATGGCCCACAGAGTACAACTGAATGCAGCATCTCAAACAGGTACACTAGTGGTAAATACTGTCAAGATTTTTTGAACAGGACATGAGGTAACACTCAACCAAAGGGGTTCCAAATACAATTCTTGCAATGTTTTTTATAAAAGACAAACAGGTCTGCTGATTGGCACAGTTGGCAGCTGCACATTTTCTTACTAGTGACAGCATTTCTATTAAAGGAAACAGCTTTTGAAGATTAGAAGTCTTCTAATAGCTCCCTGTTAATAGATAAACATTCCTTTGATCTCAGAGCACCTCAGAAGTATTCAAAAAGTTCTATTGCTACAACTAGGTAAAAAGAAAAGCTCTGAGCCTCAACAGAAAGGACTGAAAGCTAAAATAGCCATGTGAAAAGTCACACCATGGAACAGAAATGTCTGGGCTCCAATCTTCACTTTAAATACAGCCTTTCCTTAGAACACACCACTCTTCTTCCATTTCTTCATGTCTAAGTAGGACAACAGATGCTCAGTTCACAGGAACATTGCATGGATTGAAGTGTGCAAATAGTGAGTAATCAAATTCAACTACTAAATCTGACCTAATAAAAGAGGTCTTAATAAATAAAACTCTCAATAAATTAATTAATAAGGCTCTTAATGAATAGAACCTACATGCACATCACCACCAGAAAGTCAAAATACATCATTTTCAACTAATGACCAGGCAATAAAATCTTCCAGCAGGAAGAAGGGTTTTGTAGCTACCTGCAGGTAACGTAAACGTCACTAGGTCAGTCAGAAAATAGCAAGCAAAGTCTCCCTTTCGCTGATGAAGAGATGCAGCAATTTCACGGCGGATTTGTTCCGTGACCTCTGGACACACCATGGCAGGAATGCACTTGGCTGCATGCTGGGATACCTGTAACACAACACAGTTACTGCACTCAGGATTATCCCATTAAATACAAAGATTTGTGAGGAATGACCACCAGCAGAGAGTATTTGGTTAGCAAGGAATGCAAGGGAAAGATGAATACTGGCACCCTGAAAGATCAGAAGTTTAGTGACTCTTAATGAAATGTCTCACTAGTCATGGAACTGGTAACATAAATCTGGTTAAAAAACATCTTTAAATTGAAGAAGTGAATTAACAGGTAACCACTCCCAGCTGAAAAAGAGGAAGAAAAGAGGTAAGAGCTCATAATAGCAGCAATCTCAAATCTCATGCATGAGACAAGTTTAGATTTAACAGTTTATTACCACAGCACAAGACAGTTTCCTACAATCTTCCAAAAAAACCATTAAGATACTTAAATTTCTCCAGTTCTAGTCATCACTGGCAACAGAAACCAAATGAATGATGAAGGACAAGTGGCACAGGGATGACACCAGATGCATACAAAAAAAAACAAACACCTTTAAGATGCACGTTTTCACTCATTCATATCCTAGAGAAGGAAAATATCACTGGGGCTCAAACACTACTAAGCATTTCCAGAAATGGCAAGATGAGTCAGTATTCCTAGGCACTGAAGCAAAACCAAACACAAAAATCCCTAAGACAGTATTTCAGTAAATTAACTCGTTTTTAAACATGTAACTCCATCCACAGAGTTATGTAAGCAGCACAAAGCTACTGATATTAGTCATATATAAATATATACTCAAGGCTTTAGCTACATTTGTCTTGCTTCATCTACTCTTTTTAATTATTCAACACTGAGCATTCCATCATCTTTATGTGCTTTGCAGGCAAACAGCAGTTTTCAGAATTGCACTGAGCATCAGAGGAGGAGGCAGAATAAAAATATGGCCCTGATCAAAAGTCTGAGTTGAAAAAAACAGACAAAAAAAGGTAATAGAAGTATTTACAGGGCAAAGATGGAGAACAGCAGAGGTCACCAAAAGGTGACACAAGGAAATGGAATGTGGAAGAGCAAAACAGGAACCAGTCAGTCTATAAAATGGGCAAGGAATAGAAAAAAATGCAGCAATTTTGCAAAGTGAGAAATTTGCCTCTCTCTGCAAGAGAAACTCCCACAAAAGCCAATAAAGCCAGCCCAGGTAGACTCACTCATTAACAAACTCAGAACAAACTCTGCTGTCACTGATGTCAGTGCTTTGCTTTGAGAGCATTTCCTCTCCCCCACCCAGAGTACAGGAAGCCTCACAATAGCTCGCTTCCACTGCCAGTAAGGTCACAACGTGTGCCAAGACTGTTCATTAATGAGAAAATGGAACATCCTCAGGACCATCACAAGAGTCTCTTAAAGCAAACTCACTTCCTGAGAAGAAATCCAAGGCTCAAGGCAGCGATTCACGTATATTCTAACGCCAGCACAAATCAAAGCTGCATGCCACTGGCTGCACACAGTGGTGCAGTTACATAAAGCACTGCTCCATCCTTGCAGGGCCAGGGGAGCTCACCTCAGTGAGGAGGATGGCCAGCATGTCCTGCCTCTGGAAGCGGATGGCCAGGTGCACGAGGGTGTAGCCCACGTCGAAGGCAGACGGGCGGTTCAGCAGCCGCACCTCGTCCGCAGTCAGCTGCCGGGCAATGTCCCCTCCGGACGACTTGTAGGCTTCCACAGCAGCTAAATCACCTTCCACGACTCCTGAGGACAGAGAAACAGCACACAGTTCATTTTAGACAGTGAGGGAGCTTTTCTGGAACAAGCCACCTCGTTTAACAGCTCACCTGTAGCTGTTGTGTTACAGGCCAAACAGAAAAATTATCAACTGCATAGCAAAAAACTTGCCAATTTTTAAATTATTTTAAGCAGAAGACTACAAAATATTTACACTTACCTCCTCTCTCAGACCATTTCTCTTACCCACACTATCTGGAAAAGGTAAGAGATCAAAAGCCAGCTCAGAAGTGGACCCATAATGAAACACCAGCAGTAACATACACACAAGAATTTCAATTGACCAGAGAGAAAGTAATTTCTTCACAGTACAGAGATTAGTTTGATTACTTTATCTTCCCTTTTATCTCAAAAAACAAAGTACTAGATCATAGAAATAGGATCTATTGAAAGAATTTTGGACTAGAAGTTTTATTTTTTTCCAAACAGTACAAATGGTAGAAAGCATAATTTTTTCTCTTCAGCTCACCATCTCTGCTGCTAATGGAGCTTGAGAGTTTCACTCGGGATACTCTTATGAAAACTGAAATAAAGATAAATACACTGTGTGTTCCTTCTAAAGCAAGATAGGAGGAACAATTAATGACCCTAATGTCTTCTAGAGTCCCTGGCAACCTTTGATTTCTGTACCATGCTTCATATCAAGACCAATCATGCTGAATGTATTCCTTAGCTGCAATTACTACTATCAGTAAGATGTGGAGCTGCTAACAGGATCTGTTCCAATATAAGACTTCCTAAATTTAGAAATTCCTTCAAATATATTCTATTTTAGGTATGTGGTCCACAAGAGAACAGTGCAGTGCTGAGCTGAGGAAACAGAATAATGTCCCTAATGCCATCTTTACTGGAGAAGCAAATGGAACCTCACTCATGAGAAGCAGCCCTTGTTGCAGCAGCTCAAGCAATGAGCACAGATAACAAATGAGAAAACCCTGGCCCTATTTTCTGCAGCTCAACCTCCTTCCCAGCTCCTGAGAGTCAGCAGCTGAGTGGAGGCCATGAGGCTGGAGATTGAGACCCAACTCCATCCTTCACTTCATTTGCTCAACAAGACTCAAAAGCTGATGAACAGGAAAGGTCATCAGACTTAGTCAGGACAATCACTCCCACTCAGGACTTAAAATAAAAAAAGGAAAAAACCACAACACTTCCCACCCCCTCAAACAAACCCCTCATCCCAAATGAGCAAAAATCCCCCACCAAAATTAAAAAAACTCCAGCATAACAAATTGAAATGGCTGCTAGCAGAGAAGCACACTAACCACTGGCTTGCTGGTTAATCCAGGATTTAGAGAAGTATTCTTAGCTCAGCCAAAAAGTATCACTTTGAATGCTGAGATTATAAAGCTTTCAGAAGAAACACAGGGGGAAAATGGATTATCAGTGCAAGACATTACAAAGTTATCAACTGTGCTCTGCAAGATTCCACAGATAAATTTGATTATTCAACAGTGGTCTGGAGCAGAGAAGTTCCAAAACAACAATTCAACTAGGAATTTTAGTCATACAGTATCTACCCACTCATTCCAAGGTCCTCACAGGCCAGGGCAGAAGGAAAACCATACAGGACAGTATTTTTTAGTTTTCTGCTTCCTGTGTCTGTCCCCTGTAAGGAAGACATTCCTGTTCCACTCCAGCACTACTGTCTCGTTCAGTACCTGCCCATGTATTCTCCCCAGATGAGTTTTGTCTGTTCAATTTTAGTTCTTGCTCTGTAGGAATCAGACGTGCCAAGTGTAGAACTTTATTTCCATGCAAACACATTTTTGCCACTGATTAGGCAATTCCTCATGGCTGTTGCAATGATTATTCCAACCAAATACTCCAAACTGACATTTTTTTGCGTGTGTGCAGATTTGTATGTGCACACAGATAACAAATCAAATTTCTCATTACCTGCCCTCTTAATACAAGTTATATCACAGCTTTGGCAAACCCAAGAATCTGGAGAAGAAGAAATTTGATAGAAGAGCAAGTTCTCTGCTATCTTACTATATCCTTTTTTATTATTATTACATTAATTTAGGAGAAAGTTCTTGTAAAAGACTAAAAGTCACATCACTCCTTTTTGTATTTTAACCACTCCTCCTAGCACAGGAGAGACTCCTGTTACCACATCTGCATCTTCCACCACATCCCCCAAGACAAACATACCAAAGACCACCCAAGACTGGTAGGTGAGAATCACTCTGAGAATCCAAATATGCACAATTGATTTCAAAATTAAAAAAAATATCCCTAAAACGATCTTTTGGTGACAGATGATCAGACCCAAATCACATTCCAGCCAGCCAGCCTGTCAAGTAGTACATTTTACTACAGCCTACTACTGGGAAATTCATCATTTTAATTGTTCTACCAGTCCCCCACCCTCAGCTGCTTGTTATCATCCCACTCTTCATCAAACCTCAGCAAAATCTGAGGTCTAAGGCTGATGCTGAGGTGGTCACGTGAGGTTTGGCAATACCTTTTTCAACCTGCAATAAGGATCCAAACCAGTGACATGTGTTCTGTGCAGCACTGCCAGTTCTGGAAGTTTATTCCCACATCTTCCAATACTTGACATTCCTAAAAGCTCCATGTCCTACAATTATTAAAATTGTTATATAAGCTGTCAGTTAAAAAGTACATTTCTAAATTTTGCTGATGAAGTTTAAGCTAAAGATCAATTAAATGCATCCAAACCAGGCAAATTGAGTAAGTTTTCTAGGATTTATTTAAAATACATATGCATACATACATATATATATATAAATGTATTTTTAGTGGTATTTTAGGTATAGGGTTGGTGTGCTATATGACACAAACCAGCACAGCTACAGCTCATGAAGAGATGTGACTGTATGCACAGACAGTATCTGGTCGCCTTCTATTCTTTAATCAAAACAAATAAAAATTGTTCTTTATAGCAGGGGGAGGCATCAGAAAATTTTTGTTTGTCTAGTCCTACTGACTACTGCAGGGCTGATATTCCATGGGCATTAGAAGCCTCTTTGGTCCCTCTGAGCCACAGCAAGAAAAGTTAACATTTTTCTTTACCTGTTCTACCAAACATCTATTCCACTACTGCCACTTCAGAAGAACAGGGGAAATTCCTGACAGTCCCATCACCTGCCACCCTGCTTACAGCACCAGTCCATACAATCCAAGGCAGCAGTGAACACAAAATATAGTGGTAACAGGCAGACTATCAGAAATATAAACCAGAAAATACAAATCTTGCCCCAAAACTATGAGGTGAATTTGCCTACATGGACCATGCCTGCAATTCTGAAATTCAGTATCACCACACCAAAATGAGACCCAAATATGCTTGTATTGACAATAGGAGGAACATTCCTACAAAGGCTTTGATTTCTGTGGGATGAGCGAGAGCCTCCAATTCATTAAGTCTATTTAAATAGAGCTTAAAACCCCCACTGTTTATGAGAAATATCACAGAAATATTTACTGATGTTCTAATTCCCTGCATTTCACAACACAGCAGTGCCTCATTACTTACACAAGCAGACTCTGAATCGTGTCCTGATCCAGCACTGTGCCAGTTGGATTATTCCCCACTGACACCCACAGCATTCCCCAGACTGGTAAAATGTCAAAAGGAAGAGTGGCATTTGCCTTAAGATTGTTCCCAGAACACCCAGGAGCCTCCAGGAGCTCAAACCCTTGTGAGGGCACGGCCCTGATTGGCTTCAAGAGCGACACAAATGCAAACACATCCCAGTGACTCAGTGCCTGCTCCTGATCCACACAGCCACAGCTTTCCTTTAAAGTGGACTCCAGAAATGTCCCTTTGCTGTCGCCCTAAATACACCAGTCTTTTGTGCCCCCTAAAAAATTCTGCTTGGCCTCATGTAAAATCCCTGACTATAGCCCTAAGGGAGAGGACAGAAAGCCAAGTGCTGCACCCAAGCCATGAGAAAATACAAGTGCAGTCCAAATTCTGCATTTACAGGTTCAACTGTGCTCCCATTTTGCAATTCAGACATTTCCTCTTATTGGAAGACTTTCACAGCATCAAGAGCCAAGGTTTTTTTTCTTCTTCTAGTTAAGCCCTGCCTCTTTCAAACAGCACAGCTTAGATTTTACCCTCATATTAAATAAAGCAGAATTAGCCACTAAAACCAAACTATTTCAGCTTAAGGTGCTATTACATTTATTCTTTAGAACATGTAAATATTTATGGGGTTTAGTGCAGTTATATAAACTTGGAAAATATGCAGGATAGGCTTACAAGCGTTTCTAGAAAACCAAGTCCTGTTTTCCCTAACTTCACAGTTCCAGTGGCTTCAGAACACGCAGATAGCAAAGTTCCCAAGAAAAATACAACAGCACAGCCTTTATTTACTTCAGTATTTTTCCGATAGTTGTGGAGCACTGGCTGGCACAAGCTGCAAATGAAGTAGGCAAATTGTTAAAAGCAGACTGATGCAGTTTTGACTACCCAAAGAACAACCTGAGGATTAGGGATTTCTGGGATTCCAGGAGGCAGCAATTCCTGCAATAACCGTGTTCTCCCATCTGAGCAGACTGCAAAAGGAAACACTTCATCTTAAGGAGGTCATTGTGCCTCCTGCGTGGGACAGTGCCTTGAACTGCTTGGCAAGAGAAGGCAAATTTCTCAAACAACCAAGTTACACATTTTAGAAGTCAGAAGTCAAGACAGATCCTGCTGCAACATAAAACAGATCTGAGACAGAGCCCTGTGCTGCTTCCCTTCTGTCACAGGTACAACTGCAAGTGGTCTGTCATACATATGCTCTCATTTACTCTTCTAAGGACTAATCCTAAGATTGGTTTAAGTGCCAGCAAGTGAGAGGCTGATCAACTGACCCACTAAAACCTAATTCTGACACCTGTTAAGAATTTCTGCTCCTTTAACACAGACTGCTGAGGACCTGTGGCATTCTCTGGAGCTGAGTCAGCCCTCAAGCTCTTCCAGCTCTTCACCAGGGGCACATCAC